GGATTCAAAGCCGTTCGATGTCGGAAACTCGTTCCTGCATATGGTTGAAAGAGCTATATGGCAAGCAGTCCGGACCAGAACCGCGTCACGTACGCACTGGCAGTTGCATCGCGTCGTTTGATCCACGGCCTGCGGCCCCTGTTCAAAAGGCTCTCAAGACTCCCGTGGTGGGAGCTCATTTAGAGCGCCGTGACAGCCTTCTTAGATTGACAGCGCATCGAGAAGAGTAGGGGACTCGGAGCCGGCGAGGCACAGCCACCTTCGGCGACCCTCGGCGGTTGCCGGCGTGGAAGATGGTGACGGCTGGGCGGTGTATGGAAAGAAGCGCAAAGAGGCAGAGCAAGCCCGGCATGTGCTCTCGTTGGTATCTATCCTGGTCGGCCAAGGGGAATGCCTTGAGTTCGATGGTGAGAAGAACTACTTTACTGTACCGGGATCCAGTGGCCTGCTCAATATCACGGCGGCGTCCGCAGATCTCGCCGCATTGGCGACCGAGGTTTCTAGATGAGCACGTTGCATGGGAAAGCATTCTCCTACGCCCCCGTAGCTCAGGAGGAAGAGCGGAGTAAAAGGACTACTCGGACCACCCCAAGCTGTTTTAGGCTTGCCAAGTACGCACAGAGAAAGGTATACTCCTCGCAGCCGAGAAGCATCATTCTCTCAAGCTTTGAGTCTTCTCATTACTATACGTACACGATACTTATTACCACGGAATCTACCTATCGCTGAGTACTGCCTATCTTCAATAAGGCATCCTTGACACTAATAGGGCTTTAAGTATCTAAGAGAGTCTCTTGAGCTACTCGACCCCAGTTCGTTCCTTTCTTAGTTGACAGTTTTCGGTTTTAGCCTCCTACAGCTTACTTCTCATCAAGGTATTTTCGCGCTCTACCTTTCCAAGTGTCTTTTCACCAGCGTTGGAGAGCGATTGATTTTGTTTGTAGAAATGCTGAGCCTCTGGTACAAGCTTCTAAAGCTTGAGGTATTCGCGGTCGAGGCGGAACTACTCAAATCCTGTCGTGGATCTTTTCGCTGGGCTTGCCAGCATGAACGACGGATTCGGGATGACGCAGGTAGGGATCTCGACGTAGTCATCATCGGCACGAGCCTTTCCTTTGCCTTGTGGTTCGTCCACCGGGTGAGGAGACGTATCGACAGTGTTTGGGACTGCAGGGGGTAGATTGTTTTGATGTTCTGGTGGGTTCATGCCACTGTCTTCAGTTTCTTCTTCCGCCGAATCCGATTCCCCGGGTAAGCTCTCTGGCCCTCTGTTCGACGGAGACTTGAGAAGGATTGGCGGTTGAAAAGTCGGCGAGTTCGAGAGTGTTGATCCGTGGCTCGTGTGGGAGGGCGGGATGGTGCTTTGCCGGCATCCATGGTTGCGAGAAGAGAATTGGCTTCAGCAGCTGAATAACGAAGGTTGCAGGCTCAAGGGAAGATCAAATAAGTCTTGCAAGAGGTAACAGTCCGACCGAAGGTGTTGTGAGATCAAGAGCAATGAAGCTGTAGAGATGGCGACACAATTGACGAAGCTGGCAGGATCAACGAAAGCTCAAATAAATGTTGTAAGAGGTAACAGCCCAGATCGGAAGATTATAGGATCAACAGCAATGAAGGTGCAGAATGAAAAGCCCAACTGATGGTTGCAGAGTTAACAGCTCAGTCGATGAAAGTGGGAGGATCAGTGCGAACGATGAAATTGTTGTTGGCGCAGTCTTGGCACGTTAGGGCCAGCACCGTCACGTGCCAGTGCCACCGTGGCTGCTGTCTTCGTGCAGGACGAGGCCCAACAGACCTTGACAGCCACGTCTCAATATGTGGGTATCTTGTTTGATGGAACAGATCAAGGCAATGATCAAGCGCGGCTTGGCCACACCCGGCCACCTGTCCCGCTGTGCGCTTGGATGGATGATTGATGAAGCTGATGGATGATCAGATGATAAACCGATCGGCCACTGTCGACGGAGCAAAGGCTATGAAGGCGTTGTCGATGGTGGTACTCCACGATGTCACGCTTTGAGCGATGGAATGGATCCAGTTATACTACCACTATCGATAACATCTTCTTCCTTTGCTCCGAAGCCTGTGGCCACGTCCTTAGGCTCTGTTCGCTGCTCGTCTCTGTGCTCTACGGACTGCGCCCGATCAAATAATTCAGCATCGATCCGGTCCGCTTCGTCGCCGTACAGCGTGCACTCGTCCCACTGCGCTCGATTGGTCCGCTTCACCCTCACCTGATGGACGAGGCCGAATAAGCAGGACCCTCTCGTCCGACCGCAAGATCGACTCGACAAAAAAAAACTTCGCGAACGCCCGAACTCTTTCGCCGTACAAGGGCACAGCGTAACACCACTCCCCCTCTCAGAGGTACGAGTGCCACCTTGGTGGGCTGATCAGTGCCAGGTTGAGGATTGATGTGAAAGCAAGACCCGAAAGGGCAAACCTACGTGAACTCGGCACTCCCTATATGCTCAGGGGGATGCCTCGTTTCAAGAGTCGGAGACCACCTTATCGATAATCTTCGAGACTTCAAGGGACATGGGCGGGATGGTCCCAATAACGTCGTGGACTCTATGATTAAACCGATCACTACCATCAAAGACATGAGTGTCCGATCAGTCGATCAAAACTTGTTTCCCCGGGTCATCGCAAGGTTGGTGGAGATCGGTAGGTGCCTCTCCCTTCAACGCCAGATCTTCTATCCTTGACAGGCCGAGGTGAAATAACTTGTCCGAACTCCCTGCTGTTAACAACGCCACTCTTCCCGTCGCCAATTGACTCCAGCGTTTTGTTCGAGGATTTGGCCTCGCTCTGCCACTGATTGCCTTTCGTGAGTCCGCATACAACGGCCAAAATGGGTCATCATATTGCGGTGAGAACGAAACCGAGAGTCCACAAAGATGACCAAGGGCACGACAAGAATAGAGATACCGCCCATCATCAGATTAGCATGGACCTGTTCATGGACTTCCTGAGACTGACCAGCGAGGATCGTGCTATCCGGACCTTTTGGAAGAATGCCCGTGACGAGGTTCCGTGGTGTGATGTTCGGATGCTATGGCGAAGGTCGCTGGTCTGACCGTTTCTCTGCGCCCCCTTGGAACATATATTCTCTCGGGTCTCGGATTCGAAGCCTCACGCAGCATCTTACAAAATCTTCATGGTATTTCCGATTGGGAGCATCCCCGGGCAGCCTCAACAACCCTACTTCCGAGAGATGTGTTCTACGCCATGTACGTCAAGCTTAATCCATCTGCCCACCAGTTTGTAGTGTCCGTAGTGCAAAAGCAGCGTGTCGGTTGCCACCGATAACAGCCGTGCGAGATGGGAAACGGTGATGCAGGCTGCCCTGAGAAATGATCTCTTCGGCCTTGAACAGCATGATCTCTCGCGAGATATCTTCGGATTTATTTTTCAACTACCCAATACCCAGTAAAGCCTAGGCAGGTGATAAAGGCCTCTCGAAACACGAATGGCCCAGATTCAACTTCGACTGCTATCCAAGACACGCGATCGACGGAGTAAAAGTGGTGCCCTGCCTGAGAAGGTCAGTCGAGTGTGTGTCCTGGTCTCTCATTCCACAGCTGCGCCCTTTTCGATTTCCGCAGTTTCTGCCGCAACTGGCTTTCATAGATCAATTCAATGAGCAGGAATCTCCCCAAAGTCCATGCATTGACCGGCCCGAGAAGCCTTTTGCTCGCATTATCCAGGAAAGGGGACCCCGTCTCTTCCACCATCTCACCATCTGTGACCGATCCTCCTCGTCGCCGATCTTCCACCCGCCTTGATTGTCACCATCACCATGGCAGCCGTGTTTTCTATGCTTGTCCCGCCTCCAAGAGTATATCATTCATAAGCTCGCCAGTAGACATACTCCGGGCCAAATGCTCCCACTGCAGAGTATGCAGCTTCTGTCATTACATCATGGCGCAGTCACTGATCGCGCCAATCAGGTAGGCACCATGTAGGTTTTATTGCGAAACCGCGAAGCTGGACTGGTCTTTGCGCTGTGCGCTCACTGTTCTTCAGTATAGGCTACTCGTCTGACCGGTCCACCTCCCTCCTACGGCGAGGGCCATTCTCTCCACGGTGGCCGCTGGTCTTTTACCCTTACACGCGGACTTTGGCTCCCTGGAAAAGCTGGATTGGACAAGTGGGACGCCGATGCCGGTGCCCTCTCCTGTCAAACCTCCGCGCATTCATGGCTTCTCTCCTCCCCGAAGAGTTGACCTTCAAACAAGAGCAAGGAGAAAGTGCTCTGCGCTTGATCCTCCGAGCCTGCAAAAACCTACCTCATCGTGATTGACAACTTATGGAACGATAGCAAAAGAAAGACAAAATACAGTTTGAGAAACCCTGCACAAAGGACTCGTAGTTTCAGCTTCGCCGCCTCTGCCTGAATCTGAATCGTGCAGCACAATTTCGACCCGGCATGCCTGTTGAAGAATTTTCCAAAAGCGTTCAGTTCGGACGCACATATTTCGACCTTCGCACGGCAACGGAGACCATCCAGCGAGCGATATGACACTCGAGATCTTGTGTGATTTGGCGAAACTGCCAGATTCTTCATTATGTCCTCTTGTGAAGTGTTCTTTGCGGAGATGTGGCGGGCGATGTTACAAGCCGGCTGGAGAAGAAGTAAATCACCCACTCCCTTTCCCGTTTGTCTCATAGCTGACATATCCGCAAGTGCTTGTCTGATGTGCGCTCGGCATCACCTTGACCGAACTTGGGTATATCGAGTGCTGTGACATAAGAGGCCATGACACAGATGATTCCCAAGCAGATTGCCAGAATTAGTGATGACAAGAACTGTAGAACGGCGGTACACCAGAGGAGGCAGGAAGCAGCTGGTGCTCAATCGGCTTGTTCCGCTCGGGTTTGCTTTTGGGTTTTCCTTGGTCGCCGTTTTGGTCGTGGCTCGCAATGAATTCCACGTAAGGCCTGGTGATGTCGGACAAGCACATCCATGTGCAAGGGTTGGTTTCAGCACAGAACAATCACCGCAGCCTGGACTGGCCTCCTGGAGAATCTCTTGCTACAAGCCGTGCATGCTGAGTCGAAGGCACCGTCATCTGAACGTGCTGTCAGACAGCGATGCCGCTCCAGGTGATACTACAGCTTTTACACAAGGGAATTGACCACCTTCGAGCTCTGAATTGCCCGCCACCAGTCGGCGCGACATCTGTGCGACTTCCTGAAGCGCCATGGCTTAGGCGTTTTTCCTTCTGGTGCTCCACTGGTTGATCGTGTCTTTCGAGCGTCAAATTGCAGGAACTCCTTCGCCTCGATGGGTACCTCCAGCACCACCGAATACTTCACATCATCCAATTCCCTCAGCCTGGCAAAACTACGGTTTGTCGCACTGTTTTGCAGCAATATATTTCAATCAACCCTCGGAGGATCAACGGTAGCTTCAAGTTCTTGAGCTGCACTCCAAGCAGGACTGAGCCTCGAAAGTGGATGAATTGTGGAGGAAGACAGAAGAGTCTCGCAGCCTGACGCAACGCTATAGCCACAGAATCTACGAAACCCACGGATTCGTGGACAGTTGGGGCACTTGACAACACCGTCACAGTCCAACGTGCTCAAAATGCCACTACCGAACTCTAGTATAATGCATCAGTAACGATTTTAATTAGTGGTCACTACCGAAAAACAAGTTGGAAGCGAGATCCGCCGTATTCAACCTCAAGGTTCCTCTTTTCTTTGATCAATAGCGCGACGCCACCTTTCATTGCCCACGAGACACTTTCAAGGAAGAGCGACCCTCCAACCACACGGCCGATCGCGCTTCTCGACTCCTTACAGATCGGGGCTGCGCTTTGTTCTCCTGTCTGAAGTCGAGCCGCATATGGTAACTCACCATTGGAGCAAAACTATTGTCTTCCCGATCGAGGGTGGCCACCCGGTCTACAACGGGTTGCGGTACCAATAATACGACAACGCGGTTAGCATTTGTGGACGATCTCCGGAACAGGGAGGGGATACTGAAGATATTGACACACCGCCTCCCCGCCCATCGTCCGTGCCCAGGAAATTCCTCTTTCGCCTATATGGCAAGTCCCCTTAGACTACCACCGATATAGCCATCAATAGTCGGTCGCACCGACTGAGGAACATCTCCCGAGATGCATCCAAGCCTTTGGGTACTACTCCGCTGGGGCGTGGCATCCAATGGCAAGATATCTTGCTGCAGCTGGCTGCTTTGTCGCTCGATTTGAGGGAGGTGCAGATAAACTTCCCTGGTGATCTTTCAGTGGATCTCTCAGGCCCGGCCACACCAAGGCCATTGGGAATCTTCCCAAGCGCCGAGCACATTTATCTCCAGATGTGCGAGGCTCCTCTCATTGACGACTACAGAAGACACGATGCCCCCGGTACTTGGGAAAAGTCATATCTTTTCTCGCTGCGCCATGATCGACTGAGCAAAATGCGCGCAAAGAGGATTCTGTGCGACCTATGCCTAAGCGGAGACTCAATCCCCGACCATCGTTGAATCGCCAAAGGGACACAAAAATGAGAAAACAAAAGAACTAGGGATACATATATCCTGATGAGCCCAAATATTAGGTATGCGCTCGAATCGATCGACTTATTGCACGATTTGACCTGGGCCAGACCTTCACCAGGTTGTCAATATGTAAATCTCACCAATCTCGTGAGCACGGTGCGTCGAGTTGCCGGGCGATATTCGGTATACCTCAATGAGAGTTTACGGTTATGATTCGACGACACCGCGGATCGGGGACATCGTGAAAGAGGAGAAGGCTATCATGGCCGACCTTCGATCAACCAGCACTATTCCAGATTCAGCTCTGACTATGGATCACCTGCACTCTTTCCTGCTCCACATTTCACCAACAAACCATCTGATCTTTCAGTGTATGTAGCGATCACCCACTCTACGACCAATAGGTGCTTTCCCAACTCAATAACATCGTGACGACTGTTCAGACAGCAAGCATAAGGCGTGTAGCTACGGGCATGGCATCCTCTATGCAAAGACAAGCTCTCACGAGCTGGTAGCCTTACCAACGCGTGAAGAGCTGCAGATACTGTCGACAGTCTTCCGCGCGAACAAAGCAACAGCGGATTGTCAGCCTAAGGAATCTGTCCCTGCATTTCACTCAAGAGTGCCAAACCTCCTTCGCGGAGCGCGGCGTCGGCGCTTGTAGGTGCAGGGAGATGAACACAGATACAGTCTCAGGGGCTCCCTTCTTTACGAACTGGCGAGCCGTTTGCCTCGCTGATCTCATTTCGACTCTATGGGCCTGGTCAATAATGGTGGCAATGTTTTGGCTCCCACAGGGATATTGGTCCTGTCTGTGGGATATCCTGGTTTGAGTCCTTTTGTACGAATACCTATTATCCGGCAGGGTCATGTGGACCGCAAAGCTCTTTGACCTTGAGGCATTGAGCGAGATGTGTGATGGAGGAACGCTCGGGGATTTCCGTCACGAGCGCGCCATTAAACATCCCTGATGGTGTCAGGTTTTTCAGTTCCACCTGTTGTCTTTAGAGCAGAAAATCAAGCAGGGCTGAAAGAAAAAGACAATAAGGCATGGGATGTAAGGAGGAGACGCATACTGGAAGCATTTCTCAACAAAAGGCACTTCTGAAGGTTAGGGGGACCACCCTCCAACAAGCAGGGATAAGATGATGTCTACTGCCTCGGAAGACAAGTCTCGAGTACTTCGTGCTCTGAATCCCCTACAGAAGGTTAGCACCGTGACCTTCCTTTAAGTTGGCCTTCCATCAGATAAATCGTACCGAGTTTCTGACCACGCCAGTGGAGCTTGCTTTGATCTGGAAGGAAACTTTGAACATGGACAACCTACACATAGACCACGTACTGGCATTCCAGGACGATGGATCTATCATCATTCATTGTTGCAACTTCATCCGCAACAATACCGCCGCCAAGTCGGGGTCCTATCATTCCATTATTCAACCCTGCATCCTCCTTGCAAGACCCTGTGTTGGCCAAGCTATCTCGTTGCGGTGGCAGACCTTTTCGAAGCCGGCAGCGGATCCCTCGATTACACTATGGGGAAAGCATAGTCTTCCTGCGTTGCCGGAAAGCGCTCACTCACCGTCTCCGTTCGGCGCAATGATTCGCGCGTCGATACTGACTCGGCGCGATAGTGCAAGCGGTTGAGCCTCTTTGAGCCTCTTGATGCGTGGATTACTGGTCAGTGGGCTTCCTCAGCTCCTCTTCCCAGATTATACTGAGCCCATCCGACGTATTGTACTCTCTTGGGTCAATCCAATCTCAAAGTCATGGGAATTCTCGAGGTGATGGTTCGTGGTATCTGGACTGCACCGTATCCTTGATCAGCTGCGCCAGCTACACAGGCTATTCGAGATGTGCTGCATGACGTCATCGAACAAAGAGATGGCGTTAAAAAGAAGTAACCTCATCCCATCCTGTTCTCTGATTCACGGACTTTCTTCCTGCACTGCTCGTTCTCACCGCCTCGTTGAAGCAGGTTGGGTCATTTGGTCATTTCCCTCATCCTGGAATACAACCGTCCTGCACCATGTTACCAAGGGATTCCACATGAAGCACAATTCACTTCAACTTCGCCACTTCACTTCAATACACCCTCCACAACCCCACTGGCAACTCTTCAACACATCTATCCAGTTCCGCCCCTCCTTGCCATTCTCATGGCCGACCGTTTGCTGGACCGACCCCAGCAAAACAATACCTTGCATGGCTGGGGAGCACTGCGTCGTGATGGAGTGGGTGATGGAATGCAGTGGGCCATGGTCGCTGAGCAATATCTCCCAAATTCGACTGAACGCTTCTTCTTAAAGTCCCTCCTGCTCTTTGGCCACCTGATGACTCTGTCTGCAGATGGATACCATCACCTTTCCGAATAAGATGTCCATGTGCTCAGCCAGCAACAGGTCAAGCTACGCCTGTGCCTGCACCCCATTCTCAGCTTTCGGCAACCGGGCTTCAACTGCCAATGGGCACATTATGGAGGAAAAATGGTACGATACATGATTTTACCTGGGTAGTGGAGAACGTCATCGGCCACGAGTCTCTTCTAAAAGAGGGACGAACCGAGAGGACCCTCACTACTCGAGTTCGCAACCTACCCCGCACCACCGCCAGCGGAATGAAGTCCTCGTAGAAACGAAATTACACAGGATACATCATTCTCATCGGTGTTCGATCCTCCACAGCTCCCCTAAGTTCGAACCGATCCGTCCTTCTTCGGATGGTGAAGAATCAACGGAAATACGACCTCGTCCGCGCAGCAATTCTCTACCTTATTCGTCGCTGTGGGGTTCGGACACTTGGCTCCCGTGTGCGAGCAAGCAGTTAGCAGATTTCCAGCAATGGCGCAGTAACATAACTCAGAAATTGGAAGAGTTGTACCGGTCTTCGAACAAGCAGAATGTCTTCGGGCTCGACAGTTGAATTCTAGGCAGCCAGCAACATTCGATCAACAAATCTGCCTGGTACCTCTGACCCTGAGGAACAAAGCGATGGTATTCCGACAGCCCGGGACACCGGAGATGCATATCGGAGTCCAGAGATGGCTTCTGGCAGGCTGTCCACGATATCGATCACTGGCTTTGGTTCGTTCCTGATCCTCTCACACAGCGACCCACAGGATCGCTCTGTTGCGGTTGAAGGCATCCAACCTATTACTACGCACGTTGACAGTCAAAATGCCCCGTTATCGAACCCATGAGGCGTTTCACGTTGTGCTGTGTTGGCTTATCTGACGGACATAGAGTGGTGCTGCACAGCTGAAGAAGTGCAGATGAGCTCCACGTTGGACGTCGACGTGCTCGCGGGCTCCACCGACAAGGAATTTGAGCGCGAAATTGTGCTCCAGCCCAATCCGAGTGCTATCAGGGTATCATCGCCACGGACGGCAACCCGTTGTTTGCCACGGCGGTAAAGACGGTGAGAGGGCAGGTGCACTCTGCGATTGGCTTCGCTGGAATCAATAAAATGTTTGAAGTGGGATGAAAACTTGGAGGGAACTGGTCGTACTATCAACAATCCCAACCGCGGTAACTATGGGGCACGTCCAGCTTCTTCGTCTTCGGCATTGCCCAGGCAAAGGAGTGTCGATCCTACCCTTTGCACGGAGGTTCGCTCGAAGAGGGTCGGCCTTCATCGCCGCTCATAGTCTGTCGCCGCCGTCGTCGTTCCCACTCATCCCCTTCACTCGCACGGCTTGATCACGCACGACTACCACCGCCCCCACCGCGGACACTACCAGCACCAACGGGCACCACCTCCATCACGGACGCTATAGACACCTCGTGCACCGTGATCACAACGGGCCACAGCTAGCTCCTTCGTCTTCACTGAGACCACGAGTGCGGATTTGATGAAGAACAAGAGGAAGTCACAAAGTCTCGGGCAACTAGGAATCCTCCAAAGAATGAAAGAGTTGTCAGAGGATCCTGACAAAGACGAAGATTGGACTACTGAAGGCTCCCCCGAGTAGATTAGAGTGTTGTCCGGGTCAGAGAATATTCATTCTACCCTTCATTCTTATGTTCACATGAGGAGTGTTTAGTTTCAAACACAACTAACAACCCTGCCCGCTGTCTCACCGCCACCGCGGGCATCATGAGCACAAACTGACACCACCGCCATCACGGCCGCCATAGGCACCTCTGGCACCGCTGCCACAATGGGCCGCGGGAGAGAACATCTGTCTACATTGATCAATGGCAAGCCCTGGTAGAACACCTAGAAACGCATTGCAATTGATTGATTATCTATGAAGACTCCGTGGCACAAATGTGCGTGATGAAGTGCACCGAAGTGTCACTCACTAAGCCTTCCCAATGAAGGCTTAGGGCACACAATCGGTTGACCTTCGTAGTCAGTCTAACGCAATTTACATTCAGTTGCGCAATCAGCAAGAATGACGTTTGCAGGGACGCGATTTCATTGGGACCACGGAGCTCTGCAAGGGCATCGTACCCAATCCCCATCATCTCAACCTGCCAGCTGCTTTAAAAAGCGCTCCCGACGTTGTTGAAACTTTTACCGTGAAACAGGCTTCCTATGGCTGTTATCCAGCAGTTGGTTCGCAGTGTGCCGCCACATCTACATGGGGAGCCTCCACAAAAGAGGTGCCGATCTAAGCTATACGTGAAAAGCACGGGCAGATTGGTAGCGACAAACAGCTGACGGGGTTGTCTGTCTCTCGCGTGAGACCAATGGCCATTCGCTTAAAGCGCATCAGCAGTGTGCGGTATCCTTTCTTTATCTGGCCCAATGAGGATGTTCCCGTGCAGAGTACGTGTCCGAGTGCCCACCCTCTGACCCTCAACGCGGGGTGGCTTCCATTTTCAAGGTGGGAGTCAAGCTACTTGCGAATGGGGTGTCACGTCCGTCGAACACGGTGAATAAAAACCACATCGAGCCCATTTCTTTCCCCGTGTCTCTGAGGGCAGGACCGTTTCAGGAAGATATATCATCTACTCCCTGACCGCTGGTCTGAAGCACCCATGAGCAACGAGACATGGCTCGCTTCATCGACAGATCTATCCGTCGATTGGCACGGGACGTCCGAAGATTGCCTCGAATTCTCGTCGCTGGAAAGACCCGTGCATGTCTTCTCTCGCAGGCTGGAGATTGCCGCGAGGACTTGGCCATACCTCGTAGCGTTGGTTGCAGGACGGCCGGCCACTTCGTCAGTATCATACATTCGTCAGTGACAAGGCCTCATGTCTATCCGGTGAACAGTCAGCTGCGAACAACCAGGGGCAACAGGAACCTTATAGGGCTCAATTACGGCTCTGGTACCTCCCGGATTGCGTCCCCACGAGGCCGGTACTGAGCAGGCGCTCTCGATTCAGCTTCAAGTAATTTCGCTAAAGCTGGGACGATAATACTATCCGTCACACGGACACCCGAGGCAGGTTATCGAATGGGTGGCTGAGCTCGGTTCCTGCTCCAATATGGCGGTTTCTACACGACCGCCACATCAATTTTCAACAGAGCGACGAGAGAGAAAGCCTTTCACCTGGAGTTCGTCCCCGGCGCACTCGTCCCACGTGATGATATTTGTTCGGCCATCTTATTCGGCCCTAACGATGCGGTACCCCAAGCCAGCTGCATGATGTCAGGTTTCGACAAGGGTCGTCTGAAGGGGTATGCATACGCTAGTGCGTGCCTTTCACTACACGTTCAGCCAAACCATACTCCTTTCGGCGAGTTTCGCTTCGTGATCCCACCGTCAACTCTGGCGTTTGCTAGCGACAGCAAGGTAGAGATGATTCAGGCCCTGGGGTTGCTCTCGTGGTGTCCAGGATGGCCAGCATCCTTTCTCCTTCGATCGGCTCTTGTGAGTTGCTGAACGGTTTAGACACTAGGCAGGAGAAACTGCGTTTTGCGTGCAGATAAAGCCCTTCCACCATTTTACGAGTGCCTCGAGTCGCACCTGCCCGTGGTACGAATGAATCGAAATCCACCTAGTAGAGCCGCCAGCTGTGCCAGTTCCAAAGCACCCGAAATCGTGATCTCGGTCGCATCATTCAGCAACTTGGCGGCTGGTCGCCTTGCCGGATCCCCGTCTTGTCTCATAATGCCGCAGGGTATAGACATCCATATGCAACGTCTGCGGAATATCACGAACCCCAAGTCCCCTAGTAGGTTCAGCATTCTTCAGTTGCGCTCGTATCTAGACCGAGTGGGCTGTGCGGTTTTCAGAGTGCTCATGGAGGAGTCAGTCATGCCGCCACCGCCTGGGGCGGGCTAGCACCAGCTATTGAGACTGTACGGCCCGTCCTCTCTGGCGGAAACATCTTTCTCGGCCCACCGCCTTGAATGTCTCTCCCGGAATCCTGGTGGATCGCCTGAGAGCACCTAAGAGAGCATCTCGTAAAACCCCTCGCCGAGCTTCCATACTGGACCATGTTGGAGGACTCACCCACTCGAAGTATAAGAACCTTGTGTGGAGTATCTACATTCGAGCCTTCAGTGTCTCGAAGACCTGGATCGTCATTATCAATTGCCTGAGCTGGGAGTCTTGCGCCTAGGGCGCTTGCTCCATGGTCCATTGAACAGACATTTCTCTTGTGTTTATGAATGAGCCGCGTGGCTCGCTTGCCGAATTCGGCGCGTTCTTGGCCAATCCGCTGCTCTCGGCGTCGAAAGGAAGATAGCGACTCCACCAACACAAGAGGTATGCACGTTCGTTGATACGGCCGAAGCATACCTTTGGCGGCCAAACGAATTTTAGTTCCGTCTTGCGGAAAACTCTATCGCGACGTCTGAGACCAAGCTTTGCTCAACATTCCCCTTGCAGCCCCTTGCAGTAACTCAGTCTCTGTCAGAGAGCCTTGAGGTGGAATCCTTAGAGGAATGGAATGCGGGCTGAATATTTATCGCTTGACTCTCTAAAGCTGTCCTTGAGGCAACGACTACTCGCACTGTCAGAGAGGGAAAGGGGGTCTCCTTCCAGTGCGAGTACGAGTGTTTATTTATACCCTTGTGGGACATTCCAGTCCGTCCTTTGGAATGTCTGCACACGTACCACTGCGTTCTATATCCCTTGCAATCTCCTGGGTTAGTCCGTGTGTCCGCACAGACTCCTTGGCCTAGTGTGCGGCGACACCCTATCGATCGCCTATCCTCAGAAGGCCCCATAGGAGCTTTGTTGTCGACTACCCGCTTGCCCTCACCGAGTTCCAACGCGCGGACAGATTCCTCGGCCTTTCACCGTAACATCGCCACTTCCGGAGGGTTCCCGGTGAGATGGGTTTGGCCCCCGATGCACGGTGAACAAATCACTTTTTGGATTTTGCGCGATATAAGTATGCAGCAGATGTGTAGAATTTCTGGACAGACGGAAGAACTCGGCGCCCGGCGCTCTAATGGGCGGTATCACTGGTGGCGTCGTGTTCGGCGGTCGTCGCTTTCGTTCAGAGTATCGATTATGAAAGCTTTTGATTTCGAGTTGGTCCGAGCAGATCGTGATGACGATGTACTGAGTTTGGAGTTGTAATGATGACGGTTTCGAGCAGCATACGTACTAGCTCATATGCGGATCTTGCACAAGTCGGGCTCTGTCAAACATTGGGCCATTAACGATCTGTCTTCCTACGATATAACGGAATCATTCCAATTTCCCCTTTTCTTGTCAGATCGACGTCAATCGACAGGGAAAATCACCTTCATCACTGCCGAGTAATGCTTGTGATTAGCCATATCGGGCAATAATTGAAGGTAGAACAGGACACCATAGTGAGGAGGACTGAGTGCCAGCTCGACCTGCCGCACCAACCGAGGTTTCCCATAGTCGAAGGAGCAAAGTGGTGGTGGAGATGCCTTATGGGGTTTCCCAAGAGAACGAGTCGGCTATACAGATAAACTGGGATCCTCGCTGACATCCCGAGCCCCTCCTCCCAAAGGTGGGAGTATTGTCTTATTAGACCCCGGACGACTAGGAAGAGATCGCCTGACGAAGGAAAGAGGTCACAGACAAGGCGAAAACAGAATTTGAACGTGGGGCGAGCAGAAATCTACAGTCAATGTTCTTCGGGTAGCTGGCTGAGCTTGCCGCCAGCTCGGCAGGAGCGTGGATCATCAGGCTGTGCCTCAGGCACAACAGTATGTTTCAATACTGGTCTTCGAACTGGGCGGATGGCTGGACCGGCAGGTGTATCACTTATCTTTCTCTCGCTCCGTGAGGCTCGAACTAAGAGATATGACGATAATTAAAGAGATGTGCTGCGAGTGCATGGCCAATGGAGGCCATCCTTCTCGTCCAGTCTGAACATATGCCACCTCTTAAATTCATGGTAATAGAATTTATCAACACTATCGGAGTGCTCGATCATTGATCCGACGGTCCTTTGCTCCACAAGGGACAATTCTTCACCCCTGCGACTCGGGACATTGTCAAGAAGACCGATGAGAATTTCAGCGTCATAAACTTTGCAATGATCTATGTGATGGGAGCTGTGACGGCCGGTCGAGCTCAGCTCCTAGCGATGAGTTTGTCCTTCAGCGATAGATTAGATCATCCCCGCTCTGTGTGGACTCTTTTCCAGTGAAATTTCTACTGTTGAACTCTTCGGCGGTCCACTCTCTGCCGTTACACCACTCTCTTTTGTAATGCTCTAAAAAACCCAGCATGTGCAGCATGGACAGTGCGCGAGCCGGCAACCACGCACAAAGTTCGCGGTTACAACACCATTCTAAAGACAATTCGCCCTTATTATTGAAGATTAGCAATCCCGACATTCTTATCGTACTGGCTGATTTCCTCAGTCACAAGAAGGGTGGAGTCCAGGGCGACGACGACTTATTCCTGGAATTTGACCACCTCCTTCGATTTGATCAGGCTGAGATTGAGGACCAATACTGGGTCAGGGGTCTTTTCCTCCTCCCTGTGAGTCTTCGACTGTTGAGCGGCATCAATCTCAAAGGTCCTTTTTTCCTCAGCACCAAGTAGGTATTTCCGAAAGAATTGAGAGAGTTACTGCACAAGCTGTCCGCGTCCCGTTGGGACATTGGAGAGAATAAGACGCTTGGAAAAAGTGGCTTTAGCGGGACGAGAAACTCCCTTGCGCACCTCCCTCTGGGTGCGGCTCATCGCGATCTGCTTGGGTAGGTCTTTATCATGGACTCTCTTCGCCAGACCACTCTCTTTGCCCGTCAAGGAAGTTTTCTACCGGCAAAGGCTCAGCCAGCAAAGAGCTTATCTCGTTGGTAGAGAACAAACGCCAGCTCGGCGGAATTACTTATTGGATATGGGATAAACATGGAGTCACCGTTGCAAGCCATTCTGGATGTCGGCGTTCAGATCCCGGTACTGAGCAATCGTGAAGCTACTACGGAGTGGCTGGAGACAGCATGGGACAGCGATAAAGCCCACACCATACTACCCCTGGAAGATTTTGACGAGCTGTCCGTGTTGGTTTGGGAAGACCGATTGAACCCCTTCAAGCCTCGTCATCAGCCGCACTGTTTGACAGGTGCCTAGTCTTCTTGATGAGACCAATACAAGAGGGACTGACATGTCAGAGCCGTCAAGCTGGACGCAATTGTGACCAACGACAGATAGAAGCTGAGCTTTTAGTGCAGGTGCTACGGGCGCGGTTGACCTCCGGATAGAGTGCATGAAGATGAGGAAGTTGGGCCAAGACCAGCCGGTGAGCTTTTACATTCCACAAGAGATCCAGAGGCGCCTTCTTGCCAACACCTCACTCTCTGACAACACCTATACTCGTGTGGCTGACATTTTCTCCTGGTCCCTCGCGGATGTTTGAGAGACAATACGCAGAATTTACTATCGTTGACAGCGCAGTGCCGCCGATATGAATTGTAATCTCAGTCGCGGGTGCACACTCACTCCACTGACGGGGCACTCTGGTCCGAACCTAGGCCCCAGGATCTTCTGACGGCGATCTACAGCGGTTGAAATATGGATATAGACGCTACAAACCCAGACACACTACGTTGCCTACCCAGGCCGTCGGGAAAATAAATGTACAGCACTCTACACACCGGTACCCGGAGCTCAAACGCCCAGACCACGGCACCGTTTCACTTCAGGAGGGACAAAAGCGCAACCTCTCGCCGGAGATTGTATAAGAACCAGAAACACCAAGGACCATGCGACGGTATACCCACCCGATTTGAAAACCATGGTGGTGGAGGGAATCATCAACCACGGTGCGAAGGTCTTCCGGTCAAACTTTCAAAATATGGCCGAACAAGCCCGACTACACTCCACGCAAGTGTGACAGTTTCCATCCGACGTCCTCGTAACCATCGACTTTGTCAGGGCAATCTCAAATCCATCACCGGTCCTCCCATCTCGACTCATACCGGGGACCGGCAGGGTAGATCCTCACGCTTGTCGGTCCCGATAGCATCCACGATATCTAACACTTCATCACCATAGCCCGTACGAGACGGCCCAACATTGGGATCTGTCCATTAAATCAACTGCACCTGTACAGGGCTTGGGGAATGGTCGCATCACCGAGAAGTACCGCCTCGCCCTGCCGCACAGTTGAATTTCTATGCCGGCTAACTCCATCGGGGTTCTCTTCGAGGGTACGTCGAAGTTTGTCCGACACTCAGCCTCGCCTGGCAGAAGACTGAGGAGCGACACTCCGTGGCGGCGGATGGCGTCGGAATTCGAGGCTCGAGCGGCCAGATATTTGCTTCGAGGAAAGCCCTGTCGCGATCTTACTATTACCATTACCAAAATCCAAATGAATTGCGAGGAGAGATCAGAGTCATGGAGGAGCAATCTTTGAGGAAGGATTACTTGGCCTTGGTATCTCACTCGTCTCCTGATGGTTAGTCAATCCTGGGAAGAGGTCGGGCCGTTGATCTTGAGCTCTCGAGATACATCCACCAGGCCGCTGTTGCTACATTTTGACCACCCCAACGTATTCAAACGTTGTCCGTGGTGTGTTTAACGTGTCTGGGCACATGGTGAATACGCCGACTGCACACGTGGGCAACCCGGTGAAGACCATGGCATCTAGCAGCAAGTGTTCGATAGCGTGATCAAGGGTCGGTGCATGTTCGCCCGCGAAACAGCCCGGCCCTAAAGAACCGGGGTCAATTCTCGCCCACTGAGGTGTGGAAACTGGCTCACGCTAGAGTCCGTCATCATACGCCCGGACGGCTGAGCTTGCCCCTGGGGATATTGTATAGCAAATCGCCCGTATCGCTGGAATGGACAAATGCCGGACGGAGCTTCGGGCGGCGTGTTGATCTGATCCGTGTTTGTTGATTCTCGGCTGTTGTGAGAGTCAGGCTTTCAAGGAAGAAAGACGCGTGACCCCCAAAAAGAGTAATCTCCTCGCTTTGCACGCCGGACGAGGATGCTTGTATCAGTCGATACAGACGCAGCTGTAGCAGTCCCACAAAGCATAGATCGGTCCATCCCAGCTGTTGGTATAGCCCCCCAGAGCCTCGCTGCAAATTTGAGGATTCAGTGGCTTGCAGGGTTTCATCACGACGCCCTGGGGATGTGTATGAAACCCGGAACGGAGCTTACACCGGAACTCGTCCAAAAAACAAACGCAGTCGGAAATCGGGTCCTTGTGGATCACGTTTGTGACTGACGATCTGATTCAGACTCGACTTTATCACGAGGAAGAACGGCTTGGGCTTCGGCTACGCCTTCTCTGGCGCGCCGCGGCCTCCAAGGTCATCGGGTCCGTGTTCACAGCCTGTAGGGTAGTGACGGGCCTCCTCGTCGGTATTGTATACCGTCTGACAGCAGGCGTCTGGGCACAGGCAAAGACGAACAATCAGCACATGAACATTACCAAATCACCCACGGCAACAAGGGGCTATAGGGATCCGTTTCTGCCTATTGAGCTGACACGGCTATGTTCGGAAATGTTACATTTCAGTCAGTTGTCGGTCCACTCCGGGAAAACCGGGTCACTCCTCTCTCATAATATCTTATTAACAAAGGCTTGAACGTCACCAGAAGACTGCAAGCTGCGAGAGGTTGACCACTGCGCGTATCACAACACCACTACGTCACAGCGTCACTATATATATTGCAATGTCACTTGGCAGAAACAGTCTGAGTTTGGCCAAAGCGTCTGCCTGGCGCCCGCGACTATTTATACCTCCGCCGCAGCTCAAACTCAGCTCTTCTTCCTCCTTTCCTCTTGCCCATACACAACAACAACAAATATATATATCCTCCTTTTCCTCCCGGTTGGCTAAGGGGATTCCAACCAAGAAGAGATCGAGTGTGACGAGACGATGGTGGAAGGCGAACGTTAACCAGAGCCTCTCCGTCAAGCATCGATCGACGTGTCAACCCCAGTTGTCACCCGGTGTCTTCCTGTTCCCTCCCTTCAAGCAAGCAGCTTCCGCTGCTCCTGCTACATGGTGGTGGTCTCGGTCTCTGTGAGTATCCCCCCTTCTCTCTCTCGAAGGGTGTTTTACCATATCTAACCGTCTCCCGGCAGGCGGGAATAGTCAAGAAATGGGCTGCAACACAGACCGAACGTTGTTGGCGGTGCTGCCGGCGCCTGTCTCTCCCAGATCAAGTCGGTGCAGCGGTCGACAAAGCTGGCAGCAGCACCCAGACCCAACATCGGGCTAGGGTTTGATCTGGCTCGGCGACAGCACCCAGACCGAACATCAGTCTAAGGTTTGATCTAGCTACGGCGCCAGCGATGATGCCAAGACAGAAGAGCATTCCGCCGGCCAAAGTTCACCGACCAACTTCACCGACCACATCGACCATATCGACGAGCACAATCTCTTCTTCCCCTAAGTCCCCGCAAATCGCGAGCGAGAACGACCTCGCGATCGCAACACGACCCAAAGACTCATCGACGGCCACGGAAGGGGGCTGATGTACCACCGCCCCACGTCGACGAGCACAACGGGCAATGTTGCCTGGTCGGTCATTCTTCCTAGCCCCAACCCATACGCCACGTGGGTCCTGGAGAGAGAGACGCAAGTTATTTTCGGGGAGAAGAACGGCCGGACAGCACAACCTACAATCCTTCCGTTGTGGGTAGGACCGGCGACTCTCAATTCAAGGACACAGGTCGCGTCAGTTCAGTCTAGGAGTTTGATTGTCCAAACAGTCCAGTCAGGAAATGTTACAGACTTTTTTTCTCATATGACCTTCTGTTCCATACCTGCATCTTTCCTCCCGGCGGTTGATGGAGATCCTTAATCCTTTCTCTCCTGTGTGTTGCGTGCGTGTGCCCCCATGCTGCGGGAACAGCTTCCTGCACGCCAGCCAGCCGCTGTAATTCGCTCTTTCATCATCATCTTTGCGTGTGTGGGCGCTCACTCTAGTTCCCTCATCATCTTCGAGAACATAAAACAGACTGCATTCTTGTTGTCTTTATTCACTCGAGGAGAGAGCCCCTGCGTGATTTCGGGCGCAGACTCCCGATGAATTTACCTCCACTCGTGGACAAAGTGATGATTATTATTTTAATATCAATACTGTTGAACACAACGAAATGGAACCGGGAAACAAGCCAACTCAGGTGTTACGACTTGGACCCAATCCCAGTCTGCGAAGGGGTGCCGACCGAACAGGACCCGTCGAGGTTGCACTTTCTGGTTCTGCGGCTCCATGGTCTTCTTGATGAGCCGGCCAAATACCCTCCAGCCGTCTCGCCGGCATCGTTCGCGCCTCACCGTCGCCGCCCTCTACCATCTCAGCCGCGAATCACTTTGACCACCTTTATGATCTACTCCACGAGTTATGAGGAAGAAGGGAGAATGAGGGCTCAAGGCCTCATACTCGGAGTGTCCCGTGTCAGCTCGATCCAGCAGAGTACCGAGCGTATTGTCATCCGAGGACCCGAAGGAGAGATCAGATGGAACCTCTGTCGTGATTGAAACAACGATTTGATATTCACCGTGTTCCACTTGTCAACAGAAACCAGGCATTATACCCATCTTTAGCGCCCACATCCTTATCCCTCGTTCGCCTTG